GCCAAAGGTAAATTTTAAGAGGCTATTGAATGAGCTGTATTTTTATATTATTGTGTGTGTATTTTTAAGCCAACTTTTTTTTTTAAATTGCATATTTTATATTTTCTGTGTCTGCCAAAAACAATGCCTCCCCAGCATTTTGTTTTCTATCTTCTTTATGTAGGTTTTGGAAGAATTCGTACTTCTTTTCCTAAGAACTGCCCACAATGTGAAAATTTATGTTGATCTGATATTATTCACATGAGAAAGAATAAAATGTCTCTCTACCTTTTTTACAATGAATGGTTACTTCTGTGAAAAATATTTAAAATGTGCTTTTTGAACTTTTGACTTAATTTTATTAGAAAAGACCAACATCATTGACAGTTTTTTAATACAAACATATTTGTGTGCACAAAAAGGCCAAAGGGGTAGATAAGTGCAATTTTTTTTGGAGAACATTGCAAGAACAGTACAGTCCTGGCATTCAGTATACAATAAGCCTGGTCCTCATGCCATTGAAGTCAATGGCATGCATTTTTGATGGGGACAGGATTTGGACCAAAAACTTCTGATCCTGGGAATGCAGAGTAGTCAAAACTCCTATTGACTTTAATGAATGTCGTCAATGGCCTGCAACTCTTAGAATCAGGAAGATAGTATACATGTGGCAGAGATGCAAAACAAAATTTCACTGACTTAAAGAAAGGGTCAACATTTTCAAAATCTGGGTGCCTAAAATAGAGCTTCCAACTGATGTTCCTCTAATCTGACCTCCTGTATAACAAATGCCATAAAATGTCACCCCTTACCTCTATACTGAATCCCATAATGCGGGTTTGACTAGAATATCTATCTTCCAGAAAAGTATCCAGTCTTGAATTGTGTCAAGTAATGGGAATCTACCACTTCCTTGGTATCTGCTGCCTAAACATTAAATTTTAGACCCTGGTTTTGCAAAGTGATGTTCAGGACCAAATTTTGCCGTCCTTAACCAGCCAAAGGAATGTGGCATTCAGCCTTAATACACTTTTATAAAGGTAAATGATAGAACATCAGCTCCATACAAATATATGCCCTTTTGGATTCTGGTATAAAAAGCACTGTGGTAAAGCAGAAATCAGCATGTGATATTTTAACAACCTAGAAGCATTTTCAGCTTCCTTTGAATCCAGACATGAATATTTTTCTGCTGTAGAATGAACTGCACACACCTACCTTACTTGTCTGATTATCTTGAGGTACATGGTTGCTTGAAAGTCATACTAATACTATGGTAATGATTGGAGAGTTGATACTCATTGGTTACAAAATAGAACAGTATTAAAAAATAAGTAAGAGAAACATTAAAAAGAAACTTGACTTTGCCTTTTACTATTTATGTTGTAAGTTAAAGCTTGGGTAACATTCAAATGTCAAATAAATCTTTTCATTCTATAAAAGATTGAATTAATTGCCTGTATTTATTCTAGCAATTTATTCAATGTACTTTCAGTATAGGTTGTATAGTATAATTTTTACTTTCGTAAATAAAATATTTTTGATAAGATTATGACTAATTCATGTGGTTTTTGATCATCACTTCTACAGATTAACCCTAGTAGTCCCCAACATTACAGCCACATACTGTACATTGAAATGTTGCAATCTGAAATTTAGCAGTCCTTGCAAATCTGATTAACTTTCTACCTACCTGCTGCTGCCCTTCCTTTGTACCTACCCCCACCCACTGCCACTCCTTGCCTGCCCGCTGCCACTCTCCCTCCACCACCTTTCCCCCACTGCTGTCCTTCCCCTGCCCACTGCCACCACTTCCCTATCTGCAGGGCCAGGGTCAGGGCTGTCCCGTGGGCCAGGCTGGGAGCGCAGTGTGCGCTGTGCCCCAGGGAGCGAGCAGGGTTCAGCCCCATGTGAGCACATCAGGGGCAGCCCAGGGCCAGGCTGGATACAGTGAGTTGGTAGGCACATGCCTGCAGCCCAGATAAAATTGCTTGGTGGGCTTGATTCAGCCTGTCAGCCATATTTTGCCCGCCCCTGAGCTTAGGGAGCCACAGTGGTAATATTGTTGAAGAAGCCCTCTTGCTTTGTATTGCTAATGTGCTTTGCTCTGGTCCTAAATCAGGCTTCTTTCAGAAGAAAAAGCAGGATTACGTAGCACAATTTTCTAACAGAGGAAAAAAGGGGGGGGGGGGCAGACGTTTACTGCCAAAAATGTCTCAGTGCACAAGCCCTTGTGAGTCAGTAATTTCTGCCTTTTATCCCTAGCAAGAAACAAAAGAAGGGTGGAGGACAAGGATTTGGGCCAAGCAGTTGAGATTCTGTATTGCTGAGATTGGGGTGAAAATAGGCAGCTTTGTTGATAGCAAAATTAAATTTTCTCTCACAATATTTTTTTTAAAACCCCACTGAGGAAGAATTTCCAGTTGTGACTCTTGATCCTATGCAAATGGATCCTTGCACGTAGCATCCTAGTTACTTTGATGCCACTTTGCACAGATGCAGGAGAGACCATAAGGAACTTATTATTGCAGGATTGTGGCTGATGTCTGCTTCCCTAAACTCTGTATATTTTATATTCATCCAAAATACAGGACCCAGTTCTCCTTGCCTTTCCATCTGAAAGTTAGGACCCAGGTCTCCTTGCCATTGTGAGTCATACCCATACTTATGGGTATGGTTTCCCTACCAACCTGTCTGAGAGCCAAATCCTTAAAAAAACATTTGATTTAGTTACTACCAACTACCAAACTCAACAGGAGTTGTTATAGTTTTTTTTTGTTGCCACTGTCATTGGAGGACTGATCCTGCAAGATGTTAAGCACCTCTACAAATTTCATTGAATTTAGGACATTTTAATACTGAGTAAGAGTATTCACACAGGATGTGGAGCAGGGGGAGGTGGCAGCAGCCAGATGTGGTGTGGGATGGTGGATGAAGGTGGTGGCCATCGCATGCGAGTTCACCCCCCCCTGTGTCTGGCTGGCTGGGCAGCACCTATGCAGCCTGCAGAGGGGAGCAGCTGCCTTCACCCCCTCTCCCCCCCAGCCAGCCCTGCTCCTACGGCGGGGAAATGGCATGGGGTGGTAGGTGGCAGTGCTCCATCCCCACCCACCCGTGCATACCCCCTAGCCCTTTTCCACGTACCCCCAATTGACAACCCCTAATATAGGGCATTGATAACATAGTGCTTTTTTTTTTCCTAGCCAACTGTTTACCTCTAGCTCACATAGGGAGGGATTGAAAACTCCTACCATATGATGGCTATTCAAATACCTTAATTTATAGATTCAGTACAGATCCAGGACTAAACACCACTTCCGATATTACTGGACACAGTGTTCCTTCCTGAGATCCCTTCCAATCCTATAATTTAATTACATCCTTTATTCATGTTATTAGCAAACAGGGACCCACTATGAAAGGAGAATGAACTGCCCCTTACAGTGACCCTTGTACTCAGTGTGCCTGCTAGATCAGGATCCAAGTGTGTTATGGTGGGAAATGGAGGGAATCTTGCACAGCTGCTTTTTACGCTGTGCCTGTTGGGTGGATTTCATTTTCTGCAGCTGTCAGTTCAGCACCTTTCTCATTGTTTTTTGCTTATCGGATCAATCCTTATGTTATTAATTAAAGGAGTGGACAGCACTAACCCAGCTACAAATGCTGGAAAACAAGGTTCACATCTCTCCAGTAGCTTTGAAATCTTTTTTATCATGTAGGCTTCATAGTACCTACAGCCACAAAAACTAAGCAAGCACAATAGATTAGAGAGAAGTTAAAGTTAGTGGGGAATGGTGGATGCTGTTTTCCAGGCATTTTTCTCTCTGCAATTGCTGTGGAAATAAAGTGTTACCAAAAACACATTCCCAAGCAGTACCCTGCTCCAGCATGTTAGAAAGAGCTGTAGAAAGTGCTAGCCTATAAGAATGTATTATGCATCAGCAATTCATCACCCAGCATCTTGCCTTTGTTGTATCTAGTTTCCTGATCAATCCTATGTCAAGACAACATAAATCATTATTACCCCTGCATTTTTTACTGCTTATGACTTTTATTTGATTTGGATGTCAGTGTGCCATCAGGCAAGACCTGAGAAACTAGGAAGATCCAATCTCCAGGAGATGGGGCACCTGTGTCCTTTTTCTTCCCATGCATTTTTTGGAACTTAATTTGTTACATCCAAATCAGCTCAGCCAGCGAGGTGTAAAACTAAGGTCTTAGTCACTTGTTCTAATTCAAGATCATATTTCATAAGACTAGGCAAGATGCCCTACATATATCCTAGTGTTTGTAATTAACCTTTTGCTTAATTGACTTGCCCCTGCCATCCCAATGGAACAGGATTCTTCATATACTCTTGTAAATTGTTAAGCCTCATGTATTATTATTAGGCAATAATATCAGACATGCATCACCCCAAATGAGGCCCCATTTCAGTGGGGATGAAGCAATCCCTTTATTTGTATAGTTTGCGAAACACCCCTAAATGGAAATATTTCATTGTTGATATTATATCCTCTTCACTAGGCAGAGTGCCTGGAGTACTCACAGGTGATATGTTGTCATCACTGGGGCTAATAAATAGATCCTCAGAATATTTGCCAGAGGCTTTGCAAAAACATGGTGTCCCCCAAGAGCTGCTCTGGGGTCCCAGTGGGTTCAGTGGGCAATTGCTGCAGTTCCAGCAATATGTTCTCCAAATCATCTGCCAACCTATTGCTCACAGTCTGAGCTCAGCATTAGGGTTGCATGAAAGAAATCCCTCCATGCTAGGAGCATCAATGAACTCCTCCTCAAATACCTCATTGCACAGCCTGACACAGGAGTATTTACAGTCATTTTATCAACTCTGCTACACATGTGTGGAAGAGCACCTTTGGTGCCTGCCACTTTAAGGGCCAGAGCAAGCAGCAGGGCAACTGCCAGGTGTAAGCTACCGGTGAAAAGCAGTCATGTGACCTCAAGAGGGCCCTGGGATTGGAGAAGGGGGCTTAGTAGCCTCAATTTTAGATCCAGGTTCTCAGGGCTGGAGCAGCAGTCTGCTGCTGGAAACTGGAAAGATCCCACCCAGCCGAGCAGCTGCTCAGGAACACCTTGGAGGTAAGGGCAGGATCTATAGGGATGGCAGGAGGCACTGGTCCTGGGTATGACCAAAAACTGCACCCTGCTGGTGGCCTGGTGGGACTCCCTGTGGTGGGGTAGTTCCCCAAAAATGCCAGGCTGGCTGCCTCTCCAGTGAAAAGAGGGTATGGGTGCCTTATAACCCCAGCCACCACAACTTAGTGGGAAGTAGAGCAGACAGTGGGGCCAGGCACGCCTAGTGAGAGGCACCTGAGTCTGTGGGGTGCAAGACCCCAAGGTCCCAGAATGGGGGAGGAGGGCTGGCCTCAGTGAGGGGGTGGTGGGTGCAAAGTAGGGTTGCAAGGGGTGACCTGAAGGACTGCACAAGAGTTGATCAGTGAAGGAGCCCCAGTGAGGGTAGTAAATCACTGCCCCAGTGAGAGGGCTGTGGAGTAGCCCAGCGAGGGGCAGAAGAGAGTTGGGCCAAAGGCAGAGCTGGGCCTCAGTGAGAGGGCGTGAGGATACCTGGGCAAGCAGAGCCAAAGGCAGAGGACGGCCAGTAGGGGGCCAGGGAAGTCATAGTGGGTAGTTTGGAGCATGGTGTGGCAGCACAGTGTGACAACGAGCTCCAGGGGGGAGTGAGAGTCCCAAGTGAGACCCTGGAGCACAAGTCATGGTGTGAGGCCCTGTGCAATATGGATGCCATCTGCAAGGGATGGGACACGGTATAGGGGAGGTCGGAGCTTTGTGTAAACCCCTTGGCATTGGAGCATTTAATGGGTAGCCTCCCACTTATTACATCAGGTTTATCCCAACAAGTCATGGCAGAAAAGACAGGAAAGACTTCCCTAGACAAAGGGGCAGTCAGTATGGTGACCAGCCAGGAGTTGGCTCCTTCGTCACAAAGAGTATTTATGCTTTGTGCCCCTTGTATGCTTCGGACACTGACAACTGGTCCAACATATCCCAGTAAGGCAAAACTCTGTGAAATGTATTGGTAGTTATGCTTCTTTTTGGTGCTTTAATTAAAGTTATACCTACTTACATTCTCCTTTTACATTTTTATGGGGAAATAGCTATGTTTTACAAGCCAGATGGAAGATCAACCAGAAGCCATGGTGAGACTGGAGTTTTTACTACATGTTACTAAGAAAGTACTTGGTACCAGATGGCTTTATCACACATGCAAGCGCCTCAGTGCCAGGTGCTTTGAAAAGTGCCTGTCGCTGCAATGCTTGCAGTTGTTTAAGTGGCAAAATGCACATCAGCGTGAAGAAAATGGCAGCAGTATGCTTTTTAACCAAAACACCTCCGAGGTACTTTAGTTCAAAAGCGCACTACTGCCATTTTCTTTGTGCTGATACGCATTTTGCTGTTCATACAACTGTAAGCAGCACAGCACGCATCACCTTCTGTGCAAGCAGGCTTGATTAATCAAGTCTACTCCAAAGTGATGGATCTCCAGCACATCTGAGGACTAAAAGGTACATGTATAAATGCCCATTGTGACTCAGTAGGAAGAGAGAGAAAGGTGATGGATGAAGAACTGCTAGATTGCATCTAGTGGCTTCTCATGAATGTGTCCTGAAGTGCACGAGTGTGCTTCGGCTACATAGCAGGAACGAGGGGAGCCCAGATGCACGTGAGGACCACCTTGCACTCAGACTCTGAATTTCAGGAGAGCTCCCGGGTATAGGCGTGAAAGCTACCAGGGAGCAAAATCAAGGTTGTATTGTAAAAACTGGCTGGTGGTTCTATGCTTGAGGGCATTCAGCATGTGCCATAACTATGGGTATAGACATGCCCTTAAATGTTGACAGAAAACCAGGCCTGGAAACTATCAAGTATTTCAGCATTCTAAAATAACTGCATAGGGACTTCCTCCGGGCTCAGTACTGTTTTATTTAGACGTGAGATTAGAGGAATCTGAAAGCATCTGTCAGTTAGCTGAGATTTAATACCTATTAAATCTTTCAGACTTGAATGTAAAAGATGACTGGGCCTGAACAGCCTGCCAAGACTGGCGCTGAAATAGAAAAGCTGCCTACAACCCCACTTTGCTGAGATCTCAGGACTGGGTACTGCAGTCCACAAAGTGGGAAAGGAGAGGGTGGAGGACAACTCTACAAAATATAAGAGTATGTGGGGTAAGGTATCAGTACTTAGGTCCATTTACATTACAGAATATCATGTGTCATCAGATGGCTGTAATATGGCTTGAAGTTGCCTGTTTGCATGAGATAAACCATAACAATTACAGCACTGAGGCATTACTATATCTTAGCATATTAGCATGTAGACAGACTCCTATGTCGAAGGGTTCAATCTGGCACTTTTATTGCTCTCCACCAAACTTCTGAGGAATGTACTTAAAGCCCTGTATACATGGAAAAATGTATTCAGAGTAAGCTAAGGGGTAACTACTCACGGTAGTTAAATTATATATAACTACCATATAACTATTTCTAGTTAGTTATAAATACCAGTAAAATCCCCTGGGTAGACATCTCTATTGTGTTAGGAGTGCTATTTTTGGTTATGTTATCTGGGAAGAGGCTTAAGGCATTTTAATTCAGGACTAAGAGTATCCATGGGTTCTAAAGGTATATCTAGGTCTGTATTATTTTATCAGTATAAATGGTATATCTTTTTCCATATAGACAAGTCCTGTGTGTCATTTTCAACTGCCACAGAAAAACTGCCCATATACTGCAAAGCACATGCCATGAGTCTGCTCTGATGCACTGGAAATCCAGCGTGTCAGAGCAGACTCTCAAGCATGTAGAACCAGAACCAGTATAGATCTCTGAAGAAGCACACTATAAATATCTTCCCAAATAAATTAATGTATTTATAAAAGCTTTTCTTTTTGCCCTTTTTGACCTTGCTAGTTTTAATTTAACACCAATTAACTTTATTATTTGTTGAGGCTATCTCATTCATTCTTTTACTGATAATTTACTCCAGTGCTGCAATTTTTCCTTCATTTATATTCTGTGAAACATTTGCCATAGATGCTGTGCTTGTAATTATGAGCAATTCTGACAATTATTTATTTATCTTGAGTTCCCCCAAAATACTTTGGAAAAAATGCATTCCAAAATAACATAGGACTAATCCTATGATAGACTAACAAGACTGTTTCTATTAAAGAGTCTCTGTTACTCTTGTGTATGGACCTGGATTAGGCTTCAGAACACAGAATTATAGAAAAAGTAAGGCTGGAAGGTCAGGAGGTCATCTAGTCCAACCCCCTATTCAAGGCAGGAACTTTCTATAACCATACTAGATAGGTATTTGTCTAAGCCAGGAGTTTTCAACCTTTTTTAATAATTGTACCCCCCGTGCTCCCCTTTTTAGTAAGTGTACCCCATGGTGGGGGGGTGAGTGGTGGAGTGGCAGCAGTGCAGCTCCTGTGTGGCCCTGCTCTCACCCCACTCTGGCACTGCTCCTGTGAGGCAGCAGCACAAGGTGGTGGCACTGTGTCCCTGCCCACCCCCGCATACCCCCTGGGAACTTTCAAAGTACCACCAGGGGTACACGTACCTGCAGTTGACAACCCCTGGTCTAACCTATTCTTAAAAATTTCATGAACAACCTTCTTGCACAACACCCAAAACACCCCTGGTGGATGCCAAAGAAGGCGTTACAAGGGATAGATCATTGTAGATACACCTTCTTCATATCCTTTCCCTCTAAAGCATTCACTCCTGCCACTGTTGGAGACTAATGGACCATTAGTCTGACTCAGTGTGGTATGATGTTCTTATGGCCTTACACCTCAACTTGGAATGAGGACACTAGCAATGCCTTGCTGCTTCAAGGATAGGAAGTCATAGTTAAAATGCTCCAGATATCTAAGATCCTCCATTTTGTAGAGTGGGATTTTTGTACTTTAGAGGGCAGAACACAGCCTCTTTCTCTGGGTTGGTTTAGCTCTGTAGACATTGGCTGTGTTTACATGACATGTTGACTGTGCAGTAGCGTTGTGTGGCAACAACTGTGACTACTGAGCAGTAGCATCATGAAAAAGACTTTGCTCAGCACTACTGTGTAGTAACTCAGGTTATTGCACAGTCATTTAGTACTTGTTTATGTAAGTACTACATTACTGCACACTAACAACTGTGCATTCAGTGTCTCGTGTAAACAGTCTCCGAGTAGGAGGCAACATGGAGGCCTATTGTTGTCCTTGCTCTGTTGCTCTCCTCCATTATTGTTCAGTTTTGTCCCCTCCATCTTTGGGTTGGTTGGCACTTGACAAGCACTCACGGAGCTGTTCATCTTACTGGGACTACAGCTTCATGATCTCTGAATTCAAGAATGAAATGAGAAGATCCTTTCTCTCCCTTTGTTCTTCCACACCCTGACTCCTATTTAGCCCTCTGTCTTTATTGTGAGACTATGACTATTTGAACCTTTCATTTGAGCTGTTCTTCAGAAGAGCCTTCATTACTGCTCCCAGGCACTTGAACTATTTGACTATGAGGAAAGAGGTCAAACACAAAATAAAAGGCAGTTACCAAAACACAGCTTGTTTGTGGTAGTTCAGAAGAACCTTTCCTCCTTGATCCAGCTGCATCACTCAGCAACTGGAAATCTGGATTGTTTTGTTATTAAACCTTATTTACAGGTTGGGGGAGGGGTTGTTTATCTGGAAACTAGAACAGATTATTCTCTTAATATCGTGTTCCGGTTATGGAGGGCCAACAAGTCACTAAATGCATTCAAGATGCACATGTAATAGGTCAGCTGGGACACTAAGATAATAAAATAATTGCCTAAGTAAGGAATAAAGGCCCTTTACTTTATGTTCTTTAGGAAAAAAAATTGTTCAATAAGAGTGTATTTAATGTGATTACTCTTGGTGGTAAATGCTGAATCTGCATTCTCTCTCTCTCTTATCTATATACAGTTTCTAGTAACCAGCATACCATATGATGACTCATTCATTCTTTCATTCATTCATTCTTCTCATGCCAATGTTGGCACACACAGTGAAAAACTAGTATTTTCCATTTCTACTCCTGTCATGTGCTGCTGTAGAAGATTAGAAATATGTGAGAAATGTTGTCAAGCTATGTAGAATTCCTAGAGGGGCTCTGCTCCAAAGCCGTACAATTTATGCAATAATTTATCTCTTGCTGGTCCTTGTTCTTATAGTTTAGGTACAGCTATTGCTGTCAAAACACAAGCAGAGTCAGGAAAGTTACAGTTAACATTTGATGCTGCTACTGTATGGTACCAGATTTCACAGAAACCTTCACAACTTGCAAAGCTGAGCTGAACTCCAGAGTCCAACATTTTGGAAACATTGTGCATTTCTTTTAGCATAAATGAGCATCTCATTATTCTGAAAAGACTATCTGGTACTTAAATATCAATGTAGCCATTTCTAATTTAATTTGGTACTTATAAAGTATGTGATGATCAAAGCTCCCTAGGCTAGATCTGGCCTATGGAGCCATGTCATCTGCCCTGTAGGGCCAGAAATTTGGTGGTGGGGTGAATGGTAGCAGCATTAATTGCCACAGCTGCTGTGGTCCCATGAGTTTTGACAGCCTAATCTACAGAGCAACTACAATAAGAGGCAGTACAACTGTCCCCATAAATGTGCTAAAGAGACCACCTCTAGTAGGGACAGAGTTATTCTGCTTTCATATGAGAGGCAAGGATTTATTCTAAGTTATACAAGAGTTATTCTTCTCTCGTGCTCATTCAGGGCTGTTTCACTCTGTTAAGACTTCAGGAAAGATACAAGTTTTGTGAATGGGCTGAGCCCATCAAGCCATTTCACTTGTGACACCAAAGTCCCCATAATCTTCTACCTGAATATATAAAGCTTGCAAGCTGGGTATCACAGTGTGTTCTTTCATGCTTTGTATGTAGTGGTCACACTAGATCACTGACTTGCCACTTCTTGAGGTTGCCATATTGTTTTATAGAGCCTTAGGTTTAAGTAAAAAAATAGGTCTCAAATAAACCTCCAACTAGACAGGATGGAAGTGTACCCAGTATAGCTGTTTGCCTGAATTTGCTTGAAACAATAGCCTTGGGAGGTGTGAATTGCCCTGTTCATTTCAATGGGTTGTTAGACTAGATGCTCAGTGATAATAAATTCGACATCCTGTTTACAATAGTTTCCAATAACCAAATCAAAAGCCTGGACAGCCCAAGGTTGCTTCTCCTTTATGTTGTCTGCCTATAGCACTACTAGGCACTACACAAGTTTTAAGCATGTTATAGCTCAGAGAGGTAGGTTAAAGTATGTGGAACAAAACACCGGAACACAGCAATAAAATACATAAGCCTGCGATTATATCCATAGTGTTGTTAGATAAACCAAATAAGTTTTACAGTGAGACATGGTTGCTGATTTTGCAAGTTTGATTGAGGATGTAATAGGACACCAGTTACATACTAAAGGCTGTACTCACAGCTAGATTTTTTTTTAATGCATAGACAGAATATAGCACAATACATGATTAGACCAGTAAAATCCTGCCAGAAATGTGCAGATGTTCCATAATTACATAGTGTTTTTGTCTTAGACTTGATTTTACCTCGTCAGTACAGAGGGATGGGCTAAATGATTGAGATCCCTTCCAGCCTTTCCTTTCCTTTCCTTTCCTTTCCTTTCCTTTCCTTTCCTTTCCATGATTCTAGGATTATGCAGTAAGGGCTGATCCAAAGCCATTTGAAGTCAATGGAAAGATTCCCTCTGATTTCAAGGAGCACCAAAAACCATCTCTCCCTGTACAACCCAGCTGTAGCTGTGATCAAAGGAAAAACAAGTTTGAGCGTACTTAATTTGAATACACGAAGCACCTTTTTGGTGTGGACAAAGAACTTGGGAGCCCCTTCTGGAGGGGAACATTTGAAAAAGACGGTATCTATTATTATCTTCTAATTGTTACATGTGAAAGAGCCAAGCAGATTCACATGCAGCAACCCCCCCACCCCCCCCAGCCTTGGAGTACTTACTGATTGTCCTGAGCTGGAGACAGTCATTTACACACATTTACACATGCAGCTTGAATGAAAATTAACTCAAATGAACCCTGATTGTCCTGGGGGAAAAGTGTTGTCTTAGAGTACTTCACACGTATTTCACATGTACTTCAAGTGAGACAATGAACTTGTACATCCATAAGATCCCAGAACAAAAGGTTTGTCCCCCGGAGAAATGAGATATCTCTTCTTAGCCTAGAAGAACTGAGGTGCTAGCTTGAAAACAAAAATTAGACTTTTGAAGGCAGTTGTGTGGATGACAGCCAAGTATGGATGCAAAAAAATGGACCTTGAAAAAGAGAAATTAAGAGACTAGAAACCTCTGAAAGATAGCCTTATTGAAACATAGAGAGAGCACTATGGAGAGCAACCCCCCTGGCCCCAACCCTCCCCCCCCCTCCCCCTAATGATTGGGAATGAGAGAAGACTTGATGTGACAAAAGACCTTATCAGCACCATTAAGAGAAGAAAAGTAATATTTTGGATGTGTAATTACAGAAGGAGATTGCTTAGGAAGACAATCATTCAAGGAGGTGTGGAAGGAAGAGAAAAAAAGTGTAGATAAAGAACAAAGGGGAATGGATGGAACTGGAGGTCAAATCACACAAGAAAGGACAATAAAAAAAGAATAATAAAAGATATCAGATTCACCCAAAGAACGTTGTCTGCTTATGTCCTTAGACCAACACAGCTACAACCTACAGCCCTATAACAAGAAAGGACAACTGTTGTGAGATCTGGGTTATCCTACTACAACCCTGAAACTAAATGGCATAATAATTTTCAGCAAGAAAGGGATTGGAGTAAAACTGATAAATTAGCTACTTAAAGTATAATCCACATTAATACCAACTGAGGGTATCTACAGTTTGTAGGTATCTAGACTTTATGATGAGCACATCTTGTGTTATTAATATTATTAATACTTGTGTGATGTGCTTTGTCTAAAATAAAACAAAACCACTGACCCAGACATAAATAAGAAATAGCCACAAATCACATGCAGGTGCTATTGTATTTGTTTGAAGTATATTGTCTCTAATTATTTACCCTTTTCCCCTCCACCCACACTTAGTGATGTTTTTTCTTGTATTGTAGGAGCATACTAGAGATGGTCATTCCTACTTGACTAGCTCACCTAAACAACATCTGGGCAGATGAACAATGAATAACTTTTTGAGACAAATAGATGAGAAAAAAACCCAGAGGTAGAACTTTTATGTAATTTCTTTTCATGAGCAGTTGTCAGAAGGAGATTAAATGTTCCTCTCCCTGCAGCAAATCACCAATATCCATAAACCAGCAATAACCCTTAACCTTAAAACAACCAAAACAGACCTTCTGTTCCTCTGATCGTTCCCTCTCTCAAGCATTCCAGCTCTTTCTAATCTCCCCAAACTGCTGTGCACTTTCCTGACAGTTTAAACCCTTCCCGACCTCTCTCCCATCAGGCAGATGCTCTAGTAAAGCTCACTTAGCTCTGCACACCTGGGAAACTTTTGTTTAGAAAGAAAATGATTAGTATCTGTTTTCTTCCCCATATTCCCATGCACATAAGCAGTAGAACAGACACGTGTTCCTAGGAAATTCATGGATCCTTTGGGAACATGGTCTGTTCTCCTAGAGTATTTCCCTTTTGTTTTCAACAGGTCTGATTCTGGTCCCCTACTCTGCTGTAAAAATGAGGAGTAACATCTCAGCTGAAGTCAACTGAAGGTACTAGAAAGCTAGTGTGAACACACACCATTGTACTTCAGTCTGTCTTTCTGGTTTCAAACCTATTTGCATTACATCACAATATCACAAGTTAGCAGGTTCTAATTTTCTAATTGCCTAATTTCAGTTTCCCCCTCCTGATCCTCTCCTGAATGATCTCAGATTCTCACCAGATTTCTATCTTCAAATACATCCCCTGCCACTCCCTGGGCCATATAGCAAAAGAAAACTGGCAACTTCAAGAGCAGTGACCACTCCCACCCACTCAGAGGTCATGCACATGTACGCTTTGATGTGGCTGACCTCTACTGAACTGGAGAAGGTTGCTCCTTCTGAACTCAGATTTCCCCTGGGGCAATGAATTATAGTGACGGCTGACTACTGACAACTGACACCTACCCAAAGGAACCAGGCCTACTGTGCGAGTTAGCGCTTGAGCGGAAAGTTTAGCTGTGCCTATATTTCCTGAGAGCGTTTACATTTTGTTTAGAGACAACCATAAGCTACAGGTTTGGAAACCCAATCCACACTTCCCCTAAGTGTGAGGGTGTTTAGATTTCAAAGTCTAGCCTGGCTCTCTATGGAGACAGGGGCCACCGTTGAAGCCTACACACAAACCTGCTTGGTAGGTGTGAAAGCCCGAGTCTGGGTTCTGAACTACCTGTAATTTTAACAAAACACAGCTCTCTCTGCCTCCTTTGATCAATGGTTTGGTGCTTCCTTTCACACCGTCTGGGGTATGCCTGCACCATCTTGTAAACACAGTCAATCCTCTCACTGTTGCTAGGGAGTACACTACGTCACTGGAACCTTTACTGAGATTAATTGCAGAAAACCGTGCATTGATGAAACACTTTTAAAAACTGATTTTAAAATCATTTTGTTCTACATTTTAGTCTGATCATTTTTGTAATACCTCACACTTGTGAATCTGAAATGTCACAGAGTTTCAGATGCTAAAGCCAAACAGTTCTTCCATCCTGGCTGTAGTCTTGAACATACTTAACACACAGGATTGCAGCAACAATTTTGTTGTGTGCTATTTAGGAATTACCCATAGAGAGAGAGAGAGAGAGAGAGAGTGTGTGTGTGTGTGTGTGTGCTTTTCCTGCTCCCACCTGAAACACACATACACGCTACAGACATAATACCCCCACCACACTCACGCACATGCACACGCACACGCACACTACCCTCCCTGCCCTTTCAGAGTTTTCAATTGCATTGTCAACAACCTTCATATTCTCAAGATTCTTACTCCAAGCCTAAACACTCCCCACTGAGCTGAATAGGTTTTGAATGTTGTTTCTTTTATTCCTTTTCTCTTTTCAGTGTAGAAAGCCCCAGCTTGTTTTGCAGGTGTTAACTGATAGGAATTAAATGATTGTATCAACTGCCCTGAGGACATGAATGTGCTAATTTTAAGCTCTATTATAAACAGCAGTTTGGGCAACTTTTGCAATTCAAACGACTACCTGGATGCATTTTATAAGGCTCCCAAAGTGCTGGTCATTATTTGCTTTCCTTGTAAATTGCTGCAAGTTTTTCACAATGTTTCATGGCGCTCTGATTCCAGGATAATGTCCATGCATATGTATGTCTATAAACTTATTTTTAAAAAGCTGTACACTGCTGCCAACCTCAAGCACTTGCAAATTAGGAGTAAATTCCCAGCAATCATTAGACTGATGTAAGAAATGCAAAGGGGGGTGGGGGAGGGGAACTGAGTTTTTGGCCTTCTAGTTTCTGATGCATTAGGGTACTTTTTTCAAGCTTCTTTTCTGAAGTCATGGGGGCTAAAACTAAAAAGAAAAGGCTCCAAGACAGTGCAATCAAGAGAATCCAGGAGTTGAGGATATAAAGGAAACACCCACACATAAAAAGAATGATATAATATGAGAATATATATCACCAGATTGGATTAGCAGATGTCTCTCCTCTGTTTTAACTACATTAATCTAAAGACAGTAGTATAAGAGTGATGTTATAGCCATGATGGCCCAGACATGATGTGAAAGGCAAGGAGTTCCTAGGGTGATATCTTTTATTGGACCAACTACATACTTGGAATAAAGTTAGACAAGCTTTTGAATGCAAGACATTCTTCCTCAGGTCATTCAAAAGCATGTCTAACTTTATTCCAGCTATGTAGTTGGTCCAATGAAATACATCACCCTAAGAAATCCTTGCCTCTTGCCTAATCTAGAGAGAGATATACAAACCTGCGTTAACTGGAGGAAACAGAATTCGCTTCCATAGTAGCTTTGCTAGGCTAGTTTACAACCAGATGAAAAGCTCTGCATGTTCTCCTCACTGAGGCCATCACACCACAAAGGCTGTGAACCTTCTTTAAAAAAAAAAAAAAAAAAAAAGAAAGGAAACTATCACAGTTCACATCCTCCCTTTGACTGATGCTGCCAAACCAGTATTGTGGATGAGGTGAGGTGAAAAAGATTATAGGATTCCCCAGGAAGAAGGTTTGTTGGGAGGAGGAATGAAGAAGTGGGGCGGGGGGAGGGAGGAGGAGATTTAACCCAAGTCAACTCTGCATTAGCATCCCAGTTTCTTCTATAAAAGCCTAGATAGAAATTTACAGTGTGTCCCACACAGGTAGAGACCCAAGATATGTCTAAATTAGGCAGTGACCAAAATAACTGGTGAGGCTGCAGCTTGTAAGCCAGCGTTTCCACTGTAGTCCCTCTCCCAATCTTCAAACCTCCTTTGCAGACAGATCAAAATGGAAAGGGATAGCAGTCATAGTCTGTGCCAGGGAAATGTTAAGGGACAAGCAAAGGTTGTGGGAAAAAATGGAAAACTTTTTCTTTCTTCTGTGCCTTTGCCTTCCTTCAACTGGAACCAGGTGGGAGAAAAACCACTATTAATCCTCTTGTCACTCCTTCCATTCTTTTTCCTAGTCAAATGTAGCTGTTAGTCTGCTAGGTCCCAACCAACCACCCCAGAAACCCACACACACCACCACACCCTCATTTCCAATAGACTTCATTCACTTCTGTAAACATAGGCCCAAGTGTTTCGGAAAAATAACTAAGAATTTCCTTCATGTGGATGAATTACCTAGAAGCTGGTTGATGGGGCTACTCCCATCTCTAACTGCTGTGATTTTTACGCTGCAAGACATGTTCACGATTTACATTACTAAAGAAAAAACCCACTTTGTCTAAATAATCCATTTGATTCGTTTCTTTTCGTAGAAATATCTGACACCAGCTGCTTCTTTAGATCCTTCCCTGTCCTGAGAGTGTATAAACACAAGACACAAGCGGGCTGTTCTGTCATCTTCCTGGATTCGATTTGTCCAGTATCTTTCTCCCTCTCTCTTTTAACTAAAAGTTTGACTTACCGATAACTGTATTTCCAGACAAAGAAAACATTAGGTTCTTCTTAAAATACTCCTGCCAGTGAGCAGTGTGGAATATGGTGGGGTGATACATCAATACAATAAAGCCCTTGTGTCCTTAAACTCCCGGTCTCTTATTAGCCTGTCTCCTGGCCCATGGAAGTTATGTCCCCTTTTTAACAGTGAGCTGTCAGTATTTTTAAGAACTTCTCTCCTAAAATAACATGTAAATGTTTGCCTATCTGAATTTACAGGAAGACTGTAGGAAACCTTGTGGAAACACAAACATCAATGGATTCTGTCATGTGTTTTATGATGTCATGAGAATATTCACTGTTCTTTACTCAGGAGCAAGGGGAAGCTAAACCGCAGTTTTTCTTATAGCGTACCATTTGCTGAAATTATTTCTGAATTATTTAACATACCTATGAATAGGAAATTAAACTAATGGACCTACTGCTGCTTCCATTGAAGTTAACGTGATTTTCTTGGACTCGTCCTG